ATATTATATTATATTATATTATATTATGTTATATTATATTATATTATCACTCCTCTGTTTTACACATTCAGAGGAATCTGTGCTACAACTAGAACTTCTGTACATGTAGTTTATGTTTTCTTATGGATGTCCCTACATGTGAGCACGCTCCCCTTCTCTGATGAACGCTTTAGGTTTTGTTGAACCAGCAGACACAAACAAAGCCCGGCTCCATTGAACTCCTCCGTGGCTCATATGAAAACACTGACTTCAGGTTATTCCTCTCTTCCCGTTCCTTCAGAGAAGTACAGCGAGCTCTACTGCCTGTCCTTTAATCCCAACGTGAACAAAGAGGAGAGAGAAGCGTCGTGGAGCTTCATCGACCTCATGGCCGACTACAAGAGGATGGGAGTTCCCAATAACCTTTGGGTCGCCACAGCGGTCAACAGCGAGTACAGGGTCAGTCTGAACAGGGCGCAGAGATACAGTCCTGCTACATGCTCAGCTGTGCTTCCACTGATAAGTGCAGCTTGTTCTCATCTTACAAGGTCATAGATTAGGTGGAACCAGCTGTTTATCAGCTGCTGCTCAGAACAGCAGCACTTCAAACACACTCCTAAGTTCTAAAAGTTCTGAGTAAGTATTTAATTAGAAATGGGCCGTAATCGTCCTTTAAAAGTGAAGCATGTGAGTTGGTTTTAGCCAGTTTGGCACAAATAAAGAAAACTACACAGAACATGTTTTAATTACTGATGCAGGCAGATTTTGCAGCCTTTCAGACAAAGCTAAGTGAGCTATTTCCTGCTGTTTGCAAAGCTAACTGGCGCTAGCTTCAGAGTTCACATGCAGACTTAAAGTAAAAATGGCAGCCGTTTAAACCCTTTAAAGCTGGGTTAGGCTCCTCTTCCTGTTTAAACTCCTCCCACCAGACGAGCTTGATTGTGAACATGAAGCTACAGCAGCCTGTTTGGCTGCGTTAGCAGGAGGCTGACCTATTAGCAACATTTAGCAGTATCCACTCATCACCAGCTGGCAGGTAAATCCACCTGCACTGCCCCACCGACCACTACGTCACATCTATAGATTACAAACTCTGATTGTGATAAACAGAAATGTTGCTGCTGGTCTCTGCAGGATTAAACAGTGAGAGGCTCCACCTGGTGGATGCCTACTTACATACACAATAAATACTTATGTACATGATACATACCAACATACCTGATCCACCTGTGTCCGTGTGTGTGTGTGTGTGTGCTTGTCGTCCTGCAGGTGTGTGATACTTACCCCTCAGAGCTGTTTGTTCCAAAGTCGGCTACGACCGGCATCATTGTGGGCAGCTCCAGGTTCAGGAGTCGAGGACGGTTTCCTGCTCTGTCCTACTTCCACCAGGACACACTGGTGAGCATCGGACGCACAGTAAGACGCACAAACACACACAACAAGGTGCTGATTGTGTTCTGTCGTCCTGCAGGCGGCGGTGTGTCGATGCAGCCAGCCGCTGTCGGGCTTCAGCGGCCGCTGTCAGGAGGACGAGCTGATGCTGCAGGCTGTGATGAAGTCCAACCCTGGCAGCGACTACATCTACGTGGTGGACACCAGGCCCAAGGTGACGCACCAACACACACTCAGAGGTCAGTGATATGAATACACAACCAACCGCTGTGTGTGTGTGTGTGTGTGCAGCTGAACGCGATGGCAAACCGAGCGGCAGGTAAAGGCTACGAGAACGAGGACCACTACACCAACATCAAGCTGCAGTTCATCGGCATCGAGAACATCCACGTGATGAGGAGCAGCCAGCAGAAGATCATCGACGGTAAGCAGCAGCTCAGGCAGGTGACGGAGAACACACACCTTCTGAGAGTCACAGTGTTTAAATGACCACAGTGTGAGCGACGTAAACCAGTTTTAAAGGTCTGACACTTGGCCCTTCTTTCAGAAAATAATAAAAGTTTGTCACATTTTCTGCTCAAAATACAACAACGATGGTTGGTTTCACTACAACTGCGTAGCTCCTGGTTTTAGTCGTCTTCTAGCAAACTGTTTGGCT